TTGTAGATTAGAATTCAGTCTTAATTGAACAACTACCGTATTAAGGGCGGTAGTATGAAGCTAATCTGGTAACATCCCCCAGTCGGAAGAACACCCCTACGCGAAAGATTAATTGCTCTCCCAAACCCCAGACCACCCGACTGTAACAATAACATGTGTACTATAAACAAAAACATGCATCAAGTGTTGTTGTTTATTTTATTTTTTCAATGACGCGAATTGGATTGTTTTTGGAAAAGTTATATGCATTTTTACCAAACAAAAAAATATATCCTTTTTTTTGTTACACACTGTATATTAATATTGGATATACAGCAAACATAATAAGACATAACAATAAGTTGTTGTTCTTGTTCTTTTGCTCTGCACACACCCAGTCCCAGAAGCCCACACACTTGTCACCACTATACATTTTCTGAGTCTCGTCCATAATGATATAAACATGACCATTTGGAAAGGAATTTTGCCAGTCCTTGAATGTTTTTCCAGTATTAACTTTCCAAAATTCTTATAATTATTATCATAGTAATAGAGGAGATTACTGATGCTGATGACTTGATCATTCATGGTTATTATCTCCTTTAAATGTCTTTCCAACAGCTCACACATCAAAGTTTTACCACTGAATCTCAGGCCATGGATAAGCATGATATGGTCAATATTGACCCTATCAATGATCCATTGAGTTGTCTTTTCCCTGTACAGTCAACCCTCTTTATAGTCACCCCCTCTATAAGCACATCATATAAAAACCTCTTTATAAGCACACCATGTTTGAGAACCAATTACTATTGAACTTATAGAAAAACCCTCTATATAGTCACAACCTTTTTATAATAATAAGCACATTTTCAACAAAAGTTGCATTGTTCCTGACAGTGTGATTAGAGAGGGTTGACTGTATTATGTATGTGATAGGTTGTATAAGATTAAGATCTTTTCCACCTTTCAAATCAAGGCCATCTTGGGTCCAATGATCTCTCCATACAACTATGGAAGTTGAGTATGGTATGGCTGGTGAATTTGTAGCTAGAGCCTCATCATGTTGAGAATGAACTGCAATATTTGAGGATTGTGCCACACTCAAAGCAGTAGTTGAGTCATTAGCTGGATGCAGTTTTGTAATATGATCATGAAGCTTATTAGCTGCTATAGGTTTTTTGCTGTTGTTGCATAGCTTGCAGTAATATTTGCCCTTACGTTTTGTATAATGTTCCTTGGTGTCCATTATACTTATTCAATATAGGTAGCAAGAACTGGTTGTTTTTGAAAAGTAATGTGTAGTGGGGGAAAAAAAAAAAAGATTTGCATGAAAATAAAAACAAAAGCCTTTATATTTTGGGAATAGAGTCACATGATACAAACACACCCAAATCTATATTATAATTAATAAATAGTGTATAATTTTTGTTGATTGCCCAAGAAAGTGAAAGTCAAGAAATCCTATCACTACGTTCGTCTTCACCATTGACGATGGATAGCGGTGGAGCAAGTGCCACTGGTGTTGATAGTAACACGAATACGAGTGATAACGTCGATGGAGGTGACGTTACTGAATACACTACAAACTCGTCGTCAGCCGGAATTGCTACTTGGAATGAATCTTCTAGTGACATCGAACAACAAAAAACTACAGTAGAAAGCAGTATAGATGGGGGCAATGCCAACTCTTTATTGCAGCAGGCAAGTACTGCTGGATTTCAATCTATGGGTCCACCATATTCTCATGTAGCAAATTCTGAAATTTTATCGTACCAACATCCCTATCAGCCACCACCCCCCTGCTACAATTCCTTTGCATGGTTCTTATACTACTTCTTTTACCCTTCCTCAGCCACAATCGTACGAATTCGCAAAAGAGGATGGATATGGTAGTACGATGAAGGGAAACGATGGATGGGATGCAGACGGACAAGGACAACAAGATGAGGGCGACAGGAAAGAGTCATGGCGATCGAGCTCTTATGGAAATCGTGAGAACATATATGAAAACGTAAGTGAAGAGACGTGATGGGTGATTGTACAATATAATATATCGAGACTGGTGGTATTTCAAAGATTTGACACTAACTTTGGTATCTACCGTTCTTGATTTACCCAATTCAAATAAAAGAGACATGAATCTACAGCATACGTCGGGAAAATAGCACCCGAGACGAATGAAGAGGATATAAGAGAGTTCTTTGGTGGTGATGCATCGGGGGTAATTCATGCATAGATGATTTCAAGTATTTACAACCATTTTATTACATCTGTGATTCTAACCACCATCTCTTCTCCATACTGCATTGTCCCAAAAGATCGAAAAGATCACTATTCCGATAGACAAGTATCATCAACGAAGAAAAGACTTCGCATACGTTGATTTTGTAGATAATGAATCATTCAATCGTGCACTTCAGCTCGATGGACAGGTAAGTAAAATTTTGCGAGGTATCCGGTTAGAGCATTGGTTGAGTCTGTATAGGTTTTCATCCTGTTCATTAGCACGTTAGTTATTGTTCTATTATATAATCTCCTTATCTTGCATTTTCCTCTTTATACACATCAGTTGCTAGGAGGCAACAAGCTAACCGTAAACCCAAAGAAAAGATATAGCGGTCGTCGGCGTGGGTTCGGCAGAAGTCGTGGATGGCGTGGTAGAAATTATAATGCGCGTTTTCATCATAGTGAGGGTCACTGAAATAAGGATTGATCTGTCAGGACAAGGAGATACAATTGTGTATAGATATGTGTAGGACTATTCTATTAGCGTGGCATTAAATTATTTTTCCCTCTTTTTTGCTGATCGAGTAGTTATCGGTCATTGCACTTTTGTGCGTAATCTTTGATTATAGTTATCCAATTTTACAAAATTTATTATTATTATTTGGCTTGTATTATTTGTATTATTGTATTTTCGTTTATGGGTTTCTCGTTGAGCGCGCGATGGATACGTAAAGTGAACTAGTTTTAGAATCTGGTCTGGAAGGAGCACGGTGATATGTAAATGTCCCCCGTTGGCATATTAGCTCTTCGACTTTTTCAATACGTATGATTCTGTGTTTGCGGGTTCTGTGGTCTTATTCTGTGTTCTGCTACCCATGTTTGTACACTATAACATTATGACTATCAAGTAGAATTTAAATAGAATGTTGCTAGACTGTGCAGGGTGACATGCTCTATAACTATAAGCCACGTGGATTTGGTAACCGTTTCTAAGAAACGTGGCATGTAAACTATCCAAGCACTAAAATAAATTAGAGATGGAGCTTTTCGCTCTGTTCGAAAGTACACCAATCACCCAACTGTACATACATTCCGATGACGCGTTTGATATTGTATCACATGTAAGTCACCTGATGTGTCGAGTAATCAAACAGAAAAAAATTTTCTACTTCAAGGTAAAGATTAAGTATCACAAACATGCAATCTGCTATATCATTAATTGTGTGTTCAATTATCAATAATATCTCCTTCATTTATTTTACTGTTTTTTTGTTTTTTTTTGCTTTACTAGCATGTTTGAGACTCCATAACCCTAGATAATTTCTCATAATATCAACATAAACTTTAAATCCAATAATTCTGTAATACTAATTCTACTAGTATTTGAATCTTTGAAGAAACCAATTACAGTCAACCCTCTTTATAGTCACGCTGTCGGGAACAATGCAACTTTTGTTGAAAATGTGCTTATAAAGAGGTTGT